TTTCGTGTTATTCATGGGTGTGTACAAACAATGCAACCATCAGGGGCTGCGCCCCGTGTTATACCGCATCCTGGGGCTGTTAAAGTCGGAATTACCCCAAATCGATATATCGACGATTCGTCCGTACATCGCTGACGGGATTTACCACCCGAATTGCCCGGTCACTATTCTTAATTGTGGCCACCCGCTGGGTATCACAACTCAAGGGTGACTTTCATTCAAAATCTCGGGTGGAAAATACTCCATTCCACAGTGATAAAATCAGTCTCAAAGTTTAAAAATATTTTTCCCTCATTCTAAAAACAATTCCCCACCTCCAAAAAATTGTTACAACGCATAGAATTTGATGATTAATATTTTTTTTAAATAATATTCGTTAGTTACGATATTATTTCATGGAATATTTTGAGAATATTTTGAGTAAAATGACAGGTGCAGATAAACAATTGTATTTGTTGGCAAAAAATATTTTTTTTACAGTGCGATTCGAGTCAAGTCGACGACAGTTAGAAAAACCTTAGTCTCCATTGGCCTCGGCCCACCCCATTGGATTACCCGGACCCCATAGAGGGAAAAATGTAATATAAAAGGCTTAGCCTGCTAAGCCGTTAATATGTTGCCAGCGAAAAGGTGATGTGTATGTCGCCAACGCACAAACATATGTCTGGATGATCATGTAGATGCGGATATCCCCTGAGGGGTGAGGGGCAATTTGGGGTTGACTTTTATCGATGCATTACGGCCATTCAAATTCGATTCACTGGAGGAGGTCAATCGTTTTTATTCACCAGAAAAACATTGATCGATTCGATTGATTCATAAATTTATTCCGAATTAAAAAATTATGAAATCAAATAAGAGTAAACACACTGTTGAACTAAATGAAAGTTTAACGAATCAATAATTGGATTGAATCGATACAAATTTGGAGAATGTTTAAGAATATTAGAAATGAGTTTAACAAAAAAAATTGATTTAGGGTTGAATCACAGCTCTCTCCTCAAAATAATAATTAAATCATAAAATTGAATGATTTCTGAACAAAATCTCATTGAACATTTAAATTCGCAGAGAAATAAAGATTAAACAATAATAATAATGATGAAGAAAACAATTTAAATGATTTTAAATTAAAGATTGAGAACTCCGATAAAATTGTTTGTGATGTGAATTAATAAATTGATGTGGATGAATTTCAATTCACTTCACCTGTAATTCAAATCATTTTCAATTTTCCACATGAGGAAGATGTGAGAGCACCTGACGACAGGTCGATTCCACTCCGTCGAATCTGGTGATCGTCTTGACGGAGATGTTTATCAAAATCATAGGTACCTCAGAAAGATAAAATACAACACGAATTCGGGGGCTGGAACACCTAATATATTTGCGTTTGAATTATGCCGGGTGTCTCGACTGGAGCTTGACACGAGATGCGCAATGGCTGGCACGTGTCGACACGTGACCGAAAACTAATTGAGATATGAAATTTACTTCGGAGGGGAACAATGTTACATGCGTTGCTGCATTGCCCTCAAATTCCACGGATGCCTCCCTTAAATTGAATAACTTTTGTTTTCGAACATGAATTTTCAAATGGAGAGAAAATTCTAATAAAATTATTCCTAACGTCCAGTCATGGGTGTGAATTTTCATCTGAATTTCAATTTCTTATAAACGTTTTTATTTCCATTGAAATTAAAATTCGTCTAATTAATTAATTGCTACTCTACTCGTAATTCCAATTGCAATAAAATTTTTTGCATAATAATTAAACAAAAAATTCTATTCATCTGTGAAAATGCCAGTGAAAGATTGGGAATAAAAATTGTTGCCCCGTGCGAATAAAATTGATCGCTTTCAAGGAATTTGATTGCCAAACTTGGGGATGAATTTTCCAATAAATGTATTTTCGCGGATGAGAGAGTGAGTGAGTCCTGCGTAAAAATTTTTTGCATTTTCCCGGGGAAAATATCAAGGTGATCCTGGCAGTTCTGCAGTTAATTTAGAAGCCATTTCCTCTGTAAATAGCCAATAAAAGCAACGATGGGTGGAGAGGTGTGTGGAAAGGGGCGGAGGGGGTGGTGAAAGGGGGCCCGTGTAGAACGAGACGCGGCGCAATATTATAAAATTTAATGTCTTGGTTTACGGGGGCCACACAGAGCCTAGGCTATAACCTTTCGTACCGATATTTACTGGGCAATCGCAGGCGATATTGCCATGGCCGCCACTGGGTGTCCCTCAACGAGATCAAACATTTTTTTTACAGTAAATATCGAAGAAATTCTTCATTCATTGCCTCACAAACCAACACCATCCACGAATTTAACATTCCAATTAAATTCCCCAATTTCCATCAATTTTCAATTATACCATTACAAGAGAAAATCGAATTCTATAAAAAAAAAATCGCACGAGCCCCAAAAAAAATAGGAGAAAAAACCCAGTCATCCCCCACAAAATAAAAAAACCAAAAATCATAAACAAAAACCAATTTGGGGGCAAAACGGCTCGCACGATTGACCCCATCGGTATCCCCTGAAAATGGCGTCGACAGGAGGAAAAGTTGAATCCCGGAAAAAGCCATCAAGGAAATGCGAGGTAAAGTCCGATTCCGGATATACAGGAAAAGCGTCGAGGATCTATCTCCCGGATAGGTCCACGGGCAATGGTTACCACCGTACCACATCTTCACAATATCTGTACACGTGGGGCAGCACCAGGGGATGGCAAAGAGGGGAATAGAGAGGGAATATAGACCCAGAGAAACGGCAAAACACAAGACAAGGGGGCGAGAGGTATATAGCGAGAGGTAGCGACGTCACCACGGAAATCAAGAGTAATGCCAACACGAAACTGCACTACCCCTCTGTTACCCCCTCACCCCCTTGCCGACCATTCCCATCCTCTGGTCCAACCTCACCCCCTCGGCCACCCCAGGACACAACTCCATGTGCCTCGCATTCACCTCCGCAGAATCATCGTCCCACCCCTCGTCCACCCCCTGGGAATAACCCCCCCAAGCCACTACGGTATACATCGCACTGAGAGATAGAGGGAAACACAACCCTCTTTACCCCCCCCCTTTGCCTCTCTTCACCACCTGCCACCTTCTGCCACCCTCCACCACCCTCTGACACCCACCCACCCACCAGACTCACTCCAGAATCTCCAGCACTTCCTGTCTCTTTTCTTTCTTCTTTTATCCTCTCCCTCCCTTTTCGTCGTCTCTTATTTATTTATTTCTCTCCCTCGTTCTACGTTTTATTTGACTCTCCATCCCTCATTCGGATTTGGCCACTCTTTTCTCCTTTTACTTGGCCTGTTTTGTTTATTCTTCCGAGCCCCGAGGCAGTCACGATTTTCAATCGTCTCGGTATTGCTACTCGGTGATTTTTCATTTTGTCTTTTTGAGAGGTGGGGGTTTGTTTGGCCGACGTGGTTTTACTCCTTTTCTACTTACCTGTATCGTAAAACCATGTTTATTCTTCAGGTTGTAATGCTTTTTTTTTATGGAGCAAAACGCCCGGGAATTGCCCGGCGAGAGATGCGTGCTGGCTCCAGCCGAAAATCCAGTTTCGGGGGTTAAGGGGGTGCGAGTTACTGGTAAATTAGATTTTCGTTGCAGTGTTAAAAAAAACGTTGCTGAAATTTTCGGGGAATTGTGGTAATTTCGATTTAAGTAGAAAATCTGCAAAAACTCTCTTGAGAGTTGTGCGGAGGAATTGCCCGAGACAATTGCGAGAACTTTATACTCAATTTTATAGGAAATGAAAATTGGAAATTTTCAGAAATTGTATAGTGACGAAATTTTTTCGAATTCAGCTAACGCACAACTCGCGGACAAGTGCCAATCCATATTGTAAAAATTCCCGACAATAAACCAAATGCCTGAATGGTATCGTGATGAAGCTGCGAAGATCTGTAAGAGTCGATAACGAGAAAGAGGAAATGGGTTATTTACCAAATCCCGTGGACGAAAATGTGGCCATTCGTATGATCGGGCTGATACCCAACACGACTCCCCAGCAACCCCCGAAACGTCTTTTAATATACACTATATCTCCCCATGGCACCCCAGGATTTCACCCTCCCATGCACGCTGAAAATAGCGGCCATAACCCTAAATCCGTCGTTATAATTTTCTTCCTCGAAATCACGAAAACATGATTCATAATCGACAAGACCAACAATTGAGAATAGACCTGCAATTCAAAATGAAATTATCACAATGAGAAAGTTTTAATCAGATCAAAGTGTAGATTTGAGGACGTGGGTACAGCAGGACAAATCCCAGCTGTTTATGTTCCAAGGTAGATTGAATTAATTTCCAGCAAATTAATTGGTAGTTAAGATGTTTAGCGTTAAGTAAGAGGAGTAGAGTTGGCTTCCGTCTGTTCTGCTCATTTTCAACTTCATGTTCCCTTCTCGGTGTCTGTCTGATCGCAGTCGGGCTTGCGCAAACGCCCATAATGACAAGGTGATGACACCATTGATGGACTTTCAATCGAAAAAATTCCTTCTCCATTGATTCTTTCCCTCAATGAATTATCGCTAATTATCGTAAATCAGTCGTTGATTATTGTGGAGTTCATTCAGATCCGATGGAGCTGTACAAAAGCTGCAGTGATAGTAGGAAATTGCCATCATGATGGCGCCTGCTGATGGCATGAACCGAGAAATCATGATTATCACTATTTGCGTCTGACTATTTACTGATCTTATTACCGTTTGTTGGTAACTCAGATAATGACTGTGATGTCCGGACAAGGTGGATCATTTCTCAACGAGAAATAAATAATGATCTCTGTGATATTAATGGATAATAAAACAATATATTATCAAGCAGGTGTTGCCGGTCTGCCGTATTGATGGTAAATGCACAAGGACGGTACAGTAGGAATTTACAAAACTTGAAATACTATGCAGCATTTTTCACAATTACTCCATAGAATTAAATAATATATGCAAAATAATGTACAATAAATAATCTTGAACTCTTTCATGTTCCATATTAAAAAATTTATTTATTCTCTTCAAGCTCCTCCAGTAATTGAGAATTAGACAAGGTATTCCACAAATGGTATTCATACATGCCCATCCTCATTAAAAATCGAAATTCATTACACGGAGTGATTTAGCCCCCCTAAAATTCCGTGAGTCCAGAAAACTGTCTTTCCTAAGATTAAACTATTATCTATAGTCGCTCTCTCTAATTTTCCGTAAATTGCGTCGAGATGTTGACGCACTGTGGTTTATCCCAGGACTATCATCTACTGATGATTAGATGAGGCCATGGTTACGTGTTATCATCAGCCCGCAACCGCAATTCTTCCCTTATGAGCCGCGACAACCGCTCCATTGCCTGATAGAAAATGAATTTTTATCAGAAGAATGAGTACTACAGGACCTGCTGTGGATTCAAATCCGGGCATTGACAAGTTGATGAAGGGTAACCTGGAGAACCCTCTCGAGGGTTGATAACCTTGAACGATTGTCAATCGACAACTTACCAGTTCCATCTCTTCGTACGTAGCTTTGGCGTAGCTCGCACGGATGGCGCTGCAAGGTTCCGAGGGATCTGCCATAAAAGCAGCCCCTGGAGCCAACAATATTCCATTCTTCACCCCATTCTGCATGACCATTTTCCAGGTATCTTCAATACCATTGACCTTGAGCCAGAGGAAGAACCCACCACTCGGCGCATCGAATTCAACCAAATCTGCATAAAAAGGATTTCACCACTCAGCGATACTCTGCCAATACCAGAAATATCTTTATGATTACAAATATAATTCTAGATACCCTGGAGATACTTTCTCGCGAATTCTATCATTTTGTCCCGTCGCTCTCTATAGAAAGACCTGATGAAGGCGTAATGCCTCATGAATCCGTCGAATCCCCAGGTTTTGTATATCTTATGAAATAGGACCTGCGATAAAAAATTAACAACTCATTAACGATTAATCATCAATGACTCGTATGACGTAAACATTGGAGGAAATCAAATGACCCTGCATGACCTTGTTGAGTAAATCCAGATAAGGAGACACGCGTCGCGGTTATAGTTCCCTTTATTTTTCGACTTCTTTAACCAATTCCATTGATTAGTTTGAACTAGTCACCGTTCTCTGATAAAAATTCACTCAACGATCGTGTCAATTGCTTCCGATTGGATTTGTTTGTTTACTCACTGGTGCTACTAACCTGGGATAACGTCGATGCGTGTAGATGACTGCTCTGCATGTGTAGCTCTATGCTTGCAACGAGGGGTGTTGCTGCGGTGATTAGACCGAGTCGTAGTCCACTAGCCAAGACTTTGGAGAAGGAATCTAATCGGATTACTCTGCCTTCTGTGTCCAGGGAGAGGAACGTGCGTGGCTGTTCCTGGAAGGATAATTCATAAAAATGATTGGCATCGGTGAAGAAGAAATCATCAAAATCCAAATCTAGATTGCTAGTAAATGATCAAGATGTTGCAGTATATGTTGATCCTGCTGTATCGATTGGAGGAATTACAAAGCAAATCACTTACGTCGAAGCACATGAAGTGATACGGATCATCATCGAGAATGAGGAAATTGTATTCGCAGGCAATTCTGTAGATCTCTTTCCGCCGATCCAGGGGGATAACTGTTCCCGTCGGGTTTGCCCCAGATGCATTGACGTACAACATCTTCGGCATTTCTTTTCCCTCATACTCCCGCTTGATAAGCGTGTTCCGGAGCTCCTCAGGGATGATGCCCAATTTGTCCTGCTTGATGGGAATCATTTCAGCTTGGTGCGGTGTAAGCTGGTTTGAAGGTATTACAAGATTATCAAATGATCATGTGAGATTGATCGGATAGAGATCGGCGAGACTTACGACGACACTAGCTCCTGGATACAAGGGATCCTGCACGAGGATCGGCTCACCAGGTCCTATGATGGCCTCCAAAGCCTTGCTCAGACCATCTTGACTTCCTGAAACTACCACAACGTCTCGGTTCTCCCAAAGCGGTGGATTATGCGCTCTCTTCTGGTAGTCTCTCATTGCCTGTATCAGAATAAACAATCTCGTTAAATATCGCATTATTTGGGCGGCTGTTTAATCGATTTCTGGGTTAATTAATTAATTTTATTCAACATCTCATTACCTCCACCAGTGGTGGATACCCTTGACTCGGAATGTACTGCAGTGCAGCTGCAAGTTCTTCACCATCGAGAAATAATCTCGTACCGTCAGGCAACTTGAGAGAAATTTCAGTGATTGGGAAAGTTTCCTCGTTTGGCATTCCCTCTGCTAATGATATCACGCTGTGCGGCATCGAGTAAGCGATTTTTGCTGAAAACAATAGTTTGTCATTAGTCTTGTCCTGGCAATTTGTCAATTCACATTAATTCCGGGGAAATTCAGGTGTGCTGAGGTATTTTCTTACTCAGCTCTCGCGTTGCTGCTGTTCTTCGACGCTTTGATATCGATGTTTTAAAATGCGAATAATCGATGTTAAATTGCGGTGTGCATATCTTCATCTTATTCGGCTTTCGATTACTCTCCATTGTTATGGTAGCTTTTGTTTTGCTCATTGCACTGTTACGATTATTTGTCCTCACACTTCGATCCTGAATATTCTTTTTGTAAATCAATTCTTCGTTCGCACTTGAACTTATCAGAGGCCTCACACGTCTGACCGGTCTTGACAGCACTGACTTGACGCTCGTTTCTTACTCCGCTTTTATATGGAGCTGGCTACACGTGCCTCTTATGTTGCGTCAGATTAAATTCATGTACTTCGAGTAATAAACTACCTTTGGGTTGTAAAATTTAATTTTAAACAACGAGTTGTGAGTTTTTCATCGGTTAAACCGATGGATACACTTTTTAATCCGGTGGTTGAATAATTTGGATCGAAATTTTTTCGGAAACTACTTTTTAGTCTTTATCATTCTTGGAATCGTATCTATTCCGGGGATTGTACATTTTCGAGAAATTATCGAGGATAAATCGATTTCGCACGATGCTAATGTGGCAATCGGTAAAGAAAGCTCGTCTCCTTTCACGTCGGTTAACATCTGTGTCAACAAATCCGCGATACGTTCATGATTATTCGATCTGTTCCGCAATTTCATCGAATATTTATCAAAATATTTTTAATTCATCGTCTGGGATGATGGCGATAAATCGGAAAATCGCAGGGTAGATGGAGTTCGAATGAATCCAGACACAAGAGCGTCACAATGGATTCAATATTTGTTTATATTCGATTAATGCAACTTGCCCACAATAACATGATTGCTATTATCATTTTTCTCCGCGTGGGAATGATGTAGGATTTATCAACGTAATGCGATTATTATACGTCAATTACGTATCATATAGTCATACATCAATTTTTATTGTAATTTTTTAAAAATCGGCAATTCGGAAGATTAACACTATTTTTTAGAATTCTCTGGTAAATAGGTTCTCGACATTATGGCCTACGATAACTCATTAGGATTTTGAATAATTTATTTTTATCGTGAATACCAAGTGTTGATGAATTATTCATGGAAAAATGTGGTCTTGAAAATTATATTCTAAAGGCACCTTTCATTCATGTTTAATATGAATAAAAAAAAGTTTTTTATATATATATTGATTTTTCCAATAAATACTTTGTATATTAGTTAAAAGTAATTCGGACCTGAAGCTTCCGGGATGGGGAGATAAATAAAACATTTGATTTTTCCGTGAAAAAGATGAAATGTCCGGGAGATCCACATTTCATTAGTTTTCATTAGCATTAGGTATAGTAATTATTGACCTCGATTTATCGATAACGGGTTCATCTTGCTATTGGATTAAATGGTTTATAGACAAAACTTGTATATAATATTGCGATGTTATATGATGTAATGCGTGCGAGTATTTCAAGTGATACGGTTGATGTAATGATTACGATATTTAGACAATTTTATTCTGTTTTCTCGGCTCATTCTCCCCGAAGCAAACTATCGCTCCCACTTTGATAACAAAACACACATACATGGGATTTTTGTGTGACCTTTCTGATGCAATTTGCTGATTTTTTAATGGAAGACTGTGGCGGACAGTACAGGAAAGTAATTCCAGTGATAAATTTTTTTAACGTCCTAAAAACTTGGCGATGCGTGGATTGAGGAAATGAGATGAACTTTCACCTGATGATCTCTAAAATTCTTTCGAGTTCCTGAATCACTCGATTGATACATCTTGAGGAAATGTGGAATCCATTGAAAAATCGGTTTCTGTATTTTTCGGTGTTGTTGAGATAATTGCATAATTTGAAGGAATAATTGGTGTACTAAGAAATTTGAAAAAATATTTTTTTAGGGGCTGATGATTGTTTTTGATGATTAATTTGAGGGATAAATTCTAGTTCCTTATTTAGTCCACGGCTATCAGGACTTTTTTCGCTCCTTCACCCACTACTGCCCTATTGTTGTTCTCGGACTTTGCTGTAATAATGCGATAATTCTGACGTCACGGGATATTAATTTGATAACGGAAGAATAATAAAGCCCGAGATAATGGCTAATGAAAATAAGCAATTGAACATGCGATTGACCGTAGAAACAATCGCCTCGGCAACACACCCGCGGGTTATCAGCCTTCAACGAATGGTCTTCCAACGAATCATTGATTAGTTATCATGGATTTATCACATCAGTTTTGATTGTTCACATGTTTGATTAGTCGCCCTTTAATTAGATTTAACACAGAAAGAAAAAATTCGGAATAAAATACCAAACTGGTAGATTATCAATCGCAAACGGTCAGATAACTTTTACAATTCAATTTTCTCCATGAATTTATTTTATTTCAAATCCATCATAAATAAAAAATTGTTTTCATAGATAATTATTTATCTTTGCATTAGCTTTCAATTATTTACCATGATTCGATGATTGAATTCATGCTGAACCAGCGGTTTTGAATTATCGATAATTAACAAGCAGTTAATTAATGAAAATGGCAAATAATATACAATATATACATATATAAATATTGAAATAGATATAAGGGAATGTTTTTGTATTATTGAAAAATGGAGCGACGAAAAGTTGAGAATATATTGAAGACGCAGTAATTATGGTGCAGCAAAATAATTCGGGGACATTTGAAATCTCGAAATGATTGAGTGTGAAGGAAAAATGGCGGGAGAAATGGTTCCTACCATTGAACAAATGTCGAAGAGGCACTTGGCAGCTCGAGACGGAGATGGAGAAATGTACTTAACGAACGTAGAAGTTCATTAAAACCGAAACTACATTAGCCAACCTAAAATTACCACTCCTCATTCAACCTCCGTTCGTTTGGTGCAATACTTCACCTCCTTTTCCCGCTGGGATCCTTTTCCCAGATTATTACCCGAGAATTCTATCCGCGTAATAGTATTTTCAGAAGGACGCTGAGATGGAGTGAAAAAAAGAATGACACCCGATAGGAAATAGATCTACTCCGAGGGCCAATTGAAACAGCTAGGAATAAAACGGATGATGTGAATTAGGAGGGAAAATATTCGTTGAAAAATCAGCGGTGCCATCTCCGCGGGAGATTGTCTTCGGATTCTATCGTTGGCATGATGATGAGACATCAGGGCTTAATCGATTGTGAAATCGCTTATCCATTATTCATTTCATTATTGGGGAGATGCCGCAGAATTATTTCCGAGTAATTCTATCAAGAACTTCATTTCCGCCGGTGGGTTATCCTGAGAAAAACACTGAACTTTCCGGTTTTATGGAAAATGGATGGAATTGTCGAGTTTCCAAAAATTTTACGGAAAATTCAAGAACATACACCATTTTTAGTCGATTTTCAAAATAAATATCTCAATGCAAAATTAATCAGCTCCAATAAAATATTGGACATAATTCAGAATTTTTGGTGATTTCTCATTTTTTATTTCGGGTGAAATAAATTTCCAAATTATATCAGTTTAAATGAAATTTCAATGAAAAATTGCTAATTATTTAATTTATATAAAAAGGAATGGAGAAAATGGAGTTTTTCGGGGCAGATGAAAATAGATTAGGATTAGACACATCGAAATTATTTAATACAAGACGAGAAAATCTCCCACGACATGTGATTACGGGAAGAAAAGTTGTCCGTGTTTAGTAAACTCAGGGCCTAATTCCATTGTCCATTGGACCCCTCTTCCAGATACATTGAATTGTCCCAGCCTGAAACGCTTCTTTTTCTCTTCTTTTTTTTTCATTGTACATTCGTAAAAGACACTTTGTATCTTGAAAAAGGAGGAGAATACGCGTTCACGCCCCGACGATACCTAATTGGGTGCCTCACCCCATGCTGCCCCATTATTCTCAGGGTGTCAAAATACTTCAATCCGCGATGGGGTGTGTGTGCACACGCACGAGCTGAAAAACAGACTAAAAATATTTTTTTGGGGTGAGGATTTTGCTGGATGCATTCATCTGGCGTCTTCAAACCGCGGATCAAAATTTCCTCGAAAATATCTCCTGACGGTTCGATAAAAGCTCTTATTAAACTCTCACCAAATTAATTATAAATATATTAACATCCGAGTTATTGGTCCACAGTAATTATTATGAGGTATGCTGAAAATCAGGCGTACAATTTTTTTTTAGGTCATTTTCACCTGAAATAAATTTAATTATATATTAAATAAAAGAATGAGAAGAATGATTTTTTCTTTAAACTAATTGATGTGCGTTTATATCTGACCGATTGTAGCGATCGGAGGGGAGAAAATGCGGATTGTTTACCGTCAGTCATACACAATGAATACAGAGTGAATCCGCTTAGGAGAGTGACATCTTTACGCAATTACCAGTAATTGGACGCGGCTGCGGAGCTTTGAGGCTCAACGAAAACCTAATTAGACCTTGAATGCAATCTGAGACGTTTGGGGTGGGAAATTCAATGGCTCCCGACGTATTTATCCGCCGAATTTCACCGCAGGATTACAGATTCCCCTGTCATTTAATTCTTTATTTTTTTTTTCTCATGACCATCGATGAAATGCTGTATTTATACTCTCACTGATAATCGTGTTATCAAAATTGATTAATAATCGAATAAATGCATTTCTATCTCGACCCACTACCTCCCCCCGCCACCCACCTCTTCCCCCACTTTCTCGTGGCCCCTCTTCAAGGCCTGATGAGCGTCTTAATGAAGTTCCAACGAATTATCAGCAATTATCGGGCCTCCGATGTAATTTCGTTAGCCTCATCGGAGTTGGAAAAGACATTCGCCCTTCGGTAAATGAATTTTCTCGTCCGGTGCCGGACGTCTCTCATGCCTCCCACTTTTTCTCATTTCTCGTCCTCAGGTTTTTACATTTTTCTTCCGACTTGTGCTCTTATGGTCTTCTCCAAATGATTCAATCTTCCGTGTGAGCCATTATGCTGCTAATAATTATATTTTCAATAAGTTCTCGGGGAAAAAACTTCATTTGAATTTTGCTAATTCATTTCAGATTGTCGTTGGTAAAAATGAATAAATTTGATTACTGATTTTAGATACAACAATTTACTTATCTCTAATGCATAATTTATGAATTTCAAATAAAAGTTCTGTTGACGTCAGAGGATTAATTCATATCATAATGGAAAAAATATTTATTCAGCATAAACTTTGAATTTTTCACTAATTGAAGAAACTTCTCTATTTGATTCAAATGAATAATTTTATTTATTCAATACA